TTACATTGGGATCACTTGTACAAAACGAGCGCCGGCTTCCCTGCTCTACATTTATCCCTGCTTGCCCGAATTTAAATTTAGAACAAAAACTGCCCGCCCAGCGGCTATATTGCCCCTCTAATCCCTGCAACTCCCCCCCAGGTCAGGCCTCGTTGGACTTGTCGGAAATGCAGCCATGCTTATGCAGTCACATGCGTTTGAAAGAGCAACTTCACACCCAGCCAGAATGACATTTCAGCCGCAGCATCTCTCAAATATGTGTCATAAAAACTCAAATCGCAGCAAACAGCGCGCTGTGCCAAACCAAATGCGGGACAGTGGGAACCTCAGAACTGTCATCCACACGGCACCATTGGGAATAGATTGAATGGCTTACCTGTGTTTGACTTGCATATTAAACGCAGGAAAACGATACCCGTGTACTGCCCTGATCCTTGATGCATTGCAAAGCAAATTGGCTCATATAAGAAGAACTCTGGGCAGAATACAACATAGCCCTTGCAGTGGGGCTACCCCCGCGCTTCAAGGGTTAAGTGCTTGTTTTGGTCTAGGGAAAATAACAAAGTTATACTCGCCTGTTCCTCTGATCTGGCTGGCTGTGACAGCGCTCCCTCCAGCCTGTCTTCCCCTCCGCTGCAGCAGTGGTCTGTCCCTCTGCGTCCTCACGCCCTATACACTGTGAAGACTCAGTATCCTTAGACCGCTGCAAAGGAGGGGGAGAGAAGCTCCAGGGACCGGTCTAAGAGCAAGCCGGCTCCAGGGTTCAGGGCAGTATAACTTTTTTTTTTTTTTTTTACCCTAGACAAAAATAGGCGCTTAACTCTTGCAGAGCTTGGGTGTCCCCACTGCAAGGGTTGAGGATTTTATTTGCCTAGAGTTCTGTCTATATATTTAAAGCCAAACATTCTCTTTTTAGAAGGTTAATCCATATCGTGTTTTTTTTGGCCTGTGTGTCAAATTGGGGAGATTTTACTACATAACGGGAAGCGAGAAGAGATCTTTTTATTGACAGTTGGCGTAACAAATCTCCTCTCTATTCCTGTTCTGGTGACAACTCAAACAGTTCAGTTTTTCCCTAATGTGTGCGTGCTTGCGTGTGTGCGTGTCTGGGGGGTGATAATGGCACAGTAATGAAAACCTGAAACAGTTGCTAATCTTTCCCAAATTTATCCAAAACTTAAAGATGATCTTCCTGCAAACATAAGACGCAAATTGAATGGCGCATTAATATGCCATTTAGATGTAGTTTTTAAATGCTAGCAGTGTCATTACCTAAATGTGACCTGACATCCTCCTCATGCAGTCCATATACAGCAGGGCTGGAGTTTTAGAGGAAGAAGCAGCATAAGTGCCCCCTCAGTACATCTACTAACCAAACACATACAGATAGGGGGACAGAGCAGAGTGATGGAGAGATGAGCTCATCACTGTGCTGCTTCTCCTTTTGCTATCCAGTCTATCTTCTCTTTGGTTTTATAGACTGCGAGCTCAGGGATGTTTACACACTCTGGTAGTAATTTGTATGCACGCTGAGAGTTCATTTCTTTGCAGGGAAAAGGATGGGCCGGCTCTTATTATACCCTCAGGCACCGCAGGGCAATGTGAACGGTTAACTTGGAATTGGACACCTGGGAATCTACTTAAAGTGAAACCAGTGTAAAGAGGATGTTGTCTTCTAACATGTTGTGATCTGCAGTTATTTACATAGTCATGTATTTACTGTAATTCCACGCCGAAACCAATGCAAATGGAGCTCTGTAATATGCAGGGAGCCCTCTCTTACCCGTCACATTGAATCACTGATAGGAAGTTGTAGGAGGGGGCAAAAAAGTATAGATTTGCCATATGGAAGCACCCCAGGATTTGAGGTTAGTGGGGTGCTTGAGAAGATGCCTGCTGCTCCTTGAGGATGCCTACATTTCTTTTCATGTGGGCTTAGCTTCCTTACGGGCCCATTCACACAAAGGTCTCTTTAAAGGAGATGCAAACTCCCAGCGTATCTTCTCCTGTTATAACATCAGCAGTGTAATAGGAATACATAGTAGAGATGTTTTTGATAATGAAATCAAAGCTTACTTGTAAAAACCCCTTTTATGTTGTGAGTGCCGCCTTCCGTCTGCCCATCACTTCCAACAACTTCCTGGATTCCCAGTGTGCTTTTGTGTCTCTTTCCCTGCTGCTTGATACAATCTCCATTTCTCAAGGCTACATATCCCATCAGGCATTGCTTCCAGCAAGCAATGATAATACTACATTGTCCAGACATTTAAGTTGTAGTTCAGATGGCTCTGTTAGAGTGGTGGCACAAGTCAGTGCATATTCACAGCCTTCATGTACCCTCTTATGACAAGTTTCCTTTTTCCTTTTTTTTTTTTCCGTTTTGCATATAGAAGATAATTTTTCTTCACTTCCTGTCCCCAGAGAAACAATAGGCAGTGAGAGGAGAGTAAGGGAAAGTTCCCTTCCTACAACAGTTGTCACTGGTATGAGGTATCCCCATTGGAAAATTTCCCCTCTGTTCCTGTTCTGGTGTCAGCTGACCCGTCATCATTTTTTTACCTATTTACAGGAAATATTAGAGAGAGAGAGAGAGAGAGAGATGTGTGTGTGTGTGTGTATTAGGGATGTCCTGATACCATTTTTTCAAGACCAAATACAAGTACTTTCCCTCATGTACACGCCAATACCAATTACCGATACTTTTTCTTAAAGGGACATGTGAAATTTTTTCTAAAACAATACAGACTAATAATTTTACGGCAGCTTCTTTATAATTATGAAGAACTGTAACTCAATCCATGATTATTCAGCAATGGAGAATAGCAACCATCAATAGAGGACTACCTTTCCTATCAATCAAGGATTACGCAGCAAGTATACAGGGCTGCGTGTGGGGTCTCTCCAGGGCTGCGTGCGGGGTCTCTCCAGGGCTGCGTGCGGGGTCTCTCCAGGGCTCTGCAGGCAGATGCCAGCCTGAACTTGCTGAACGGGTAGGTGCTAGGCTGAACAGGGCTGTCGACTCCATGGCTGTACTTTCGGTGTTGGCTGTCTTCAGATACTTCAGTGCCAGGAAGGAGAAGGAGGAGATTGGGGCCAGACAGGCACTGTCAAAGACAGCTGCCTGAGGTCCCCATAAGCACGGGACCTCAGACAGCCAAACTTGTTTAAAAATTTAAAGGGCCAGTATTGGCCTTTTAGTATCGGGGCATTTTCACGAGTACAAGTACTAGTGAAAATGCCCTATATCGGTACCGATACTAGTATCGGTATCGGAACATCCCTAATTAAAAAAAATGTTGAGGCACCAACAGCAGTAGAAACCTGAATAACTAAACAGAACTTTCTTTGTGGCATAGATTCAACAAGGTGTTGGAAATATTCCTCAGAGATTTTGGTCCATATTGACATGATGGCATCACACAGTTGCTGCAGATTTGTCAGCTGCACATCCATTATGCGAATCTCCCGTTCCACCACATCCAAAAGGTGCTCTACTGGATTGGGATCTGTTGACTGGAGGCTATTGGAGTACAGTGAGCTCATTGTTATGTTCAAGAAACTAGTTTGAGATGATGCTAGCTTTGTGGCAAGGTGCATTATCCTGCTGGAAGAAGCTATTAGAAGAGGGGTACATTGTAGTCATAAAGGGATGGACATGGTCGGCAATCATACTCATGTAGGCCCTGGTGTTTAAACAATGCTCAGTTGGTACTATGGGGCCCAAAGTGTGCCAAGAAAATATCCCCCACACTATTACACTATCACCACCAGCCTGAACTGTTGATGCACGGCAGGATGGTTCCATGCTTACGCCAAATTCTGACCCTACCATCCGAATGAAGCAGCTGAAATCGACACTCATCAGACCAGACAAAGTTTTTCTAATCTTCTACTGTATTGTCCTATTTTGGTGAGCCTGTGCGAATTGTAGCCTCCGTTTCCTGTTGTTAGCTGACAGGAGTGGCACTCGGTGGGGTCTTCTGCTGCTGTAGCCTGTTTCAAGGTTCAATGTATTGTGCGTTCAGAGAGGGTATTCTGCATACCTGGGATGTAACAAGTGGTTATTTGAGTTACTGTGGCCTTTCTATCCTCTCAAGCCAGTCGGCCCATTCTCCTCTGACATCAACAAGGCATTTTTGTCCACACGACTGCCGTTCACTGGATATTTTCTCTTTTTCGGACCATTCTCTGTAAACCCGAGAGATGGTTGTGTGTGAAAATCCCAGTAGATCAGCAGTTTTTCAAATACTCAGACCAGCCTGTCTGGCACCAACAACCATGCCACGTTCAAAGTCACTTAAATCCCCTTTCTTCCCCCATTCTGATGCTCGGTTTGAACTTCAGCAAGTCGTCTTGACCACGTCTAGTTGCTGCCATGTGATTGGCTGGTTAGCAATTTGTGTTACCAAGCAATTGAACAGGTGTACCTAATAAAGTGGCCGGTGAGTGTATATAATAATGATAGATATATATATATATATATATAATGTAAGCTGAGAGGTTTTTATAAATTCTTGTAAATCTTCTCTCAGTACCGGAAGACCTGCACACAATGCCATCCTCCTTTCATTTAGGAAGCTCTAGTGGGCCTTCCTGTTCAGGAGGTTCCAGAGAATTAACCAACAGTTTGAACCGGACATAAATAATAGAAGACCTGAGCGCACAACTACAGCGGATGAATAATTGATGAGTGGCGGTAGGTCCAGAGAATAACACATGGCTACACAGATGCGACGATATATTCACACTGACAGCGAGAGGCAAAGTAAATATTTTACGCAGCATTCTGATCAGGTATACCTCTGTAACAAAGCGCACTGTGGAAAGGGACTCCGGGCAAATATTAAAGCTCAACTGCGGCCAAGTTTTTGTTTTTTTCTGTGGATGGAGCGGGTAAGAAGTAGAAATCATGTCTTCTTTTCATTGCTCTCGGTGACCCCGTTGAGGGCATTACCCATCATTCTCTGTCCCGGTGACACCCTGCAATAGTGCCATTGCGGTGGGATGGTAGGGAAGATCTCCTTTAAGATAAACTCTGAGAATTAAAAAAAAAAAATCCTCCCACTGCCAAGGGTTAAATGCTTGTTATGTCTACGGGTAGAGGTATAGGTTGTGATACTTATTCTATTCATCGCTTCCATAGGCTTCCTCCACCGGTGCGACTGGCCCTCCGCAGCTTCTTTAGGCTGGGTTCAGACCATTTTCCGGGCCAGATCTGCAACATAGGCCATTGCGTTTTTGCCGCGATTGGAATTTTTTTTTTTTTTTTTTAAAGCTTACAGGTGCGTTCCAGTGTGTTCCATGGATTTTTTGATGCGTTCCAGTGCATTCCACACCAGACAAACAATTTTTCTGGTCTTGTCTGGAACGGACTGCGCTGGTGGGAACAGAGGCCAGAAATAGCATTGGGGTGCATTTTGGGTCTGGAAACGGTCTGGTCTAATCTGGATGTGGTGTGAATGGGCCCTTAAGGCAGGGCTGGGCGATTCCCATTAGCCATGTCGCCAGTGCCCCTTTTAAAAAGTACAGCCAACGCCTAACTTTTAAGGGTTTCTTTAGTTGTCATGTTGTCCATGGAGCCTAAAAAAAAAAAAAATTGTGTTCTGCTATATGAATAGATGCATATAAATTCATGTATAGTGTATTTTGCATGTGGTACCTTTTTATCCCTGGGGAACCTGAGGGTAAGCCATTTCAGTAGGTGCAGCGCAATGCACAGATAAACTGTACTGATAACACAAAGCCACACGGCTGCTGCTAAGCCGTTGGTAAAGATTTGAAGGGCTAAAAAGTATCAAGGAGCCTTAGGGTATCTGTAAAAAGTTGCTGTATTTTTCCTGAAGACATTTTGCTGGTCATCCGACTAGCTTTCTCAATTCTGAGAGTCTGAATTCTGAATTAAGAAAGCTGGTCGGATGACAAGTTAAACATCTTCAAGAAAAAGACAGTAAGTCCAGTTGCCTTGATTTTTATTTTTTTACAGATACACCATGACCTGGATGAATGAGAACCTTCACTGACATGAGCCTTTGGGTGTTAAGCTGCTGTTGCTGCATTGCATAGATGGCTAATTTGTGGCTTGCAGTAAATTAAAGTAGATGTCTAATCATTAATCAATGTAATCTCAAAGGCCATTTTCACTCTCTTCAAATCTAAAGCTTTTATTAAAATGACCCCTTGCCATCCTGCCATGAAGGGCCCATGTTTAGGCACTTCTTGTAATTGGGTGACATCCCTCTGCCCCTTTTTCTCTCAGTTGTCCTCCTGTGTTGTCACCCTGCTACATGGGCTTCAGATGGAGACTACAAGTGGCTGTTTTAATTCACATTACAAAGGCATAGACCAATGTTGTCACCATCAGGAAACCCGCCGTGGACAATACTATGCAGTCCTTGCTGGAGCGCATGGATGAGAATAAGGATTTTATTTATTCACATTGGCAAATCAGTGTCAGTCAGTGTTTACAATACACCTACTTTAGGTGTGTAGCTTTATGTCTGTGATACCAGACATGGCATGGTCCCAGCGGCATGAAAGGTCACCCTCTGGTCTGGCCCAGAGCTGCCTTTACCTGTTCGGTCCCCGGGGTCTTCATTAAAAAGAGCAACAATGGCAGTGATTAGCACTCTGTCCGCAGGGGAGTGCTGCTATAAAAAGCCCGGCATTATTTGTCTGAGCAGTGGCAAGTCTCTGAGGATTCCATTATGTCTCACACGTTGTGTATTCCATGAAAGGCGCCTTAGAGAGGAAACTGTGTGCAAGCATGTGCCAGGAGGGTGACCCGGACCAAAAACAAATGGTCCTGTCTGTGGGGGACCAGAATATTACCAAGATAAGAGATGGCTGTATAAGAGCCATGGAACGGAATGACAATTACTGTGGTATTATGATTGTGGACTAAAGGCCGGATAAATATCATAGAACAATTTATAGCAAATCACCGGTCAAAGAGGAAAGCAACCCAGCAGCCCTGGACCCAAACTGTGTGCCCATTGCCGGCCAGAGGCCCTAATCTCATGTAACACCACTCGTGTGAACAGCAGTGCCCTCACTGCCCATTGATTTACACAGGGTCCAAATCTGTGGCTGTGGCTGTTCGTACTCTACGTGTACGCAGGGCTGAAGTTTGACTGCCGCAGATTCTTCCCAATGGAGAAGCTAATTGCCCAAATACGTTTACTCTGAGATGTCTACCGGCTTTATGTACTTTAATCGTTGAGCTACTTCTTCTTTTTTTTATTAAAGGGAAATTCTAACTTTATGAAAAAAATTCAAATAAATGCGCTCTCCTTCATAAATGGGGGGAAAAGTCGCAATTTTTTTTTTTTGCCATGGAGTCAGTAAAACATTGCAAGGATGAACAGTTGATTGCGGGTGCAATGCTCAGGCTCCTGCAGTCTCTTCGCCTGCCCATGTCCCTATCGAGGTATGGACATTCAGTAACATGGACGGGAGGAAGAATGAATGGACTATAAGTGTGGTGATGTGACAAGTCCCTCTGCCACAGTGGCTGATGGGACTTGGATGAAGAGGCTGTGTGAATGGATGAAGAGGCTGTGTGGGCTCAGCCCACACTGCTAGTAAGTTTATGACTGCGGTACCATTGACCTCAATGCAGCACCATAGAACTAGCTCTCAGTCTCCCAGTCTCCTCTTCTCAGTGATCAGACTGAAACATTCTAACTTTGTAGTAAGTCACGTGGCGAGGGTGTAGCAGGGGCTTATCTGTGTCAGATACACCACTCAGCCATAACATTATGACCACTGAGAGGTGAAGTGAATAACATTGATCACCTTCTTACAATGGCATCTGGAAGTGGGGGGATCTACTTGGCAGTGTGTGAACATTTTTTCCCTGAAGTTGATGTGTTGGAAGCAGAAAAAATCAGCAAGCGTAATGATTTTAGTGACTTTGACAAGGGCCAAATTGTGATAACTAGGGTCGGAGCAACTCCAAAACTACAGCTCACATGGGATGTTCCCGATCTGCAGTGGTCAGGACCTACCAAAAGTGCTCCAAGGAGGGAATACTGTTGAACCTGCGACCGGGTCATGGAGGGCCGAATCTCATTGATGCATGAAGGAAGGGAATGCAAATTGCTGAAAAAGTTAATGCTGGGTCCAATAGCTAGGGCTGCATAGCCACAGACTGGTCAGAATGCCCATGCTGACCCGTTTCCACTGCCAAAAGTGTTTAAAATGGGCGCGTGAGCATCAGAACTGGACAACGGAGCAATGGAAGAAGGTGGCCTGGTCTGATGAATCACATTTTCTTTTACATCATATGTATGGCCCATTGTGTTTGGTTGCTTACCTGGGGAAGAGATGGCACCTGGCTA